GCGTGGAGCTTGTCAAGGCCAGAGTTAAGCTCCCAGCTCCACAGGCCGGCACCCCTCTAATGGTTCGACTGGGACAGAATTGGACGTTTGAGAGATGGCTTGGCCTGGGACGTGACAGGCCAACATTCCTACAGACTAAAACCGACAACCAGTTTGGACCCGACTTCATAACAATCCTGGAAATGCCCAAGCTCAAGAAGGAGATCCTTCTCAACATACAAGTGCGGCAGGGAATGGCTGCGGACCGTTTGGATTCTCGGGAGTTCTTCGCGCACAACAAGCAGCGCCAGGTTCTCGAGAGGAACAGGGAAAACTCGAGCTTGCTGTCCAAGTGCTGGAGTTCCGGCTGGGTGGAACTTCGCTTATCTCCTTGCAAGAGGATACAGCACGACGACAGGCCTTTCCCGACGGACAAGCCTTGCATCCGCGCCTACATTGACAAGACCAACCTCTACAAGATCTTTCCAAAGCTCCTTCAGCATCTCCGGCGAAAGTTATAGCAGTGAAAAACAAGCTCTTTCTATATATTTTCGACGGGAGTTTTCTCGGTGGCAACACTCTAGCAAAGGGAGGTCCCTTTGGTGCAGCGGCCGACGAACACTCCGTCCTGATACGGACCAGCGAAGTTGAGGTAAGCGATGAAGTTGATCGGGCAAGTAGTGCTAAAGTCGTTCACTTGGGACTTGTATTTGCAGGCCAGGGACGTGAACGCCGGGCAGCAAGCCGAGGTCGGGAACGGTGCCTTGCAGACTCTGGTCACGGACGAGTAATCCACCTTGGAAAAGTCGGTTGAGCAGGCTGCATCACAAAGAATACAAGAGATCACAGGCAGAAAAAGAAGCTGGAAAGCCCCTGGAGGAGAAAAACAAGATCAAAGCTCTTACATTGTGAAGATTGGAGAAGTCGACGACCAAACTGTCCTGGATCTAATCCACCAGCAGCAGCAGCAGCAGCAGCTATAAGATTTACAAGCGCAAGAGATCGGTTTAGTACATGGATCAAAGCGAGCACAGTGGAAGGAAGGAAGAGAATGTAAGCACCATATCCAGCAGCTGCGAGAAATAGTAGAACAAGCAAGGAAGAAGAGCGCGCGCCCATAGCTTCTTCTCGACCGACGACGTACACTTTACTTGAGAGGCAAAGGCTTTATAAAAACTGGCCGTCACGAGTGACGGGCGAGGGCACTCAAGACAGCGGCTCACGACAAGCGTGACGGGCATCGACGCGTCGGTGTGTTAAATGGTAGCGACATAAGGTAGCGCCCGTCAAGGTCGTCTGGCACATCGTACGGACGGACGCGCCCCTGGTTCGACTCTTCTCCACGCCATTTGGAGGAGGGCATATTCCACAAGATGAGCTTGAGCTCTTATGGCTCCTCACGCAGCGATCTTCTCCATGGATGGTCCCGGGCATTTAAATCCGATGCTGGAGCTCGCGGAGAGATTGCAGCAGCAGCATGGATTCGCCATCACAGTGCTCGCCTCGCCGCTGACAGACGCTGCCCCGCTCGCGCGAAAGCATCCCAGCGTGAAGTTCGTGACAGTTCCAGTTCCGGATGATCTCCTTCGCCTCGCCTGCATGGGTGATTTGTTCCGGATGGTGGATTCCATGCCAGGAGCAGTGGAAGAGGCCGTGCGCGAGCTGGATCCTCCCGCGACGATGGTGATCGCGGATGGATTCGTGGGCTGGACGCAGGACGTTGCCGACAAGCTCGGGATCGCGAGAGTGTTCTTCTGGACGGCGTCGGCGGCGTGCGAGATCGTTTGCTCCAACATCCTGGAGCTCAAGTCTCGAGGCTATCTGCCAGTCAAGAGTAAGTTTGTCAAGGATGATCTTCTTTTAAAAGTTGATGAGCACTTCTTCTCCAGGAAACTTGGAAGACGAGAGTGTCATCGATTTCCTGCCGGGGCTGACTGGCATGACTCGAAAGGATTTGCCGCTGGCCTTCTATGACGACGACGTCTGCCTGGATTTCATTGGAAAAGCTTGCGCGAGGCGTCCAGAGGCGTTTTGCGTGCTCGCGAACACGTTCCAGGAGCTAGAACCAGTGGCCATCGCCGCGATGCGCGAGAGGATGAGGTACTTTGCGATTGGGCCACTGATCCCTCGGGCTCTTCTCCGCGAAGCGCAGCTCCCCAGGGAGGATTTGCGCGATCACGACGAGCATCTCGGCTGCATGGAGTGGCTGGATCGCCAGCTTCCGGCGTCGATCCTCTACATCGCGTTTGGGAGCGTCGCAGTGCTCTCCTTCCGCCAAGTGAAGGAGATTCTCGACGCGCTGCAAGCTTCCAATCAGGCGTTCTTGTGGAGCTTCCGGAAGAACTTTGTCGTGGATGTTCCGGACAACGATCACAAGGCCCTGGACGAGCTTCTAGATCGAGCCAAGGCCATGGAATCCAGGCTCGTGTCGTGGGCTCCCCAGCTCCACGTCCTGCGGCACCCAGCGGTGGTGGGATTCGTGACCCACTGCGGCTGGAACTCGACCATGGAGGCGATCAGCTCCGGCGTTCCAATGCTCGCGTGGCCGCGCACGTCGGAGCAAAACATGAACTCCAAGCGCATGGTCGAGGAGTGGAAGATCGCGCTGGGCGTGAACAACCATGGCCAGGACACGGACGATCCCCCGCGAGTGATCCAGTCCCGGGAGATCGCGAGGCTGATCGAGGAGCTCAATGGGGAAGAGGGCAAATCGATGAAGGAGAATGTGTTGCGATTGAGAGACGCGCTCCGGGCGGCGCATGGACCCGGTGGATCGGCGTGCGAGAGCTTGCGCGAATTCGCAGAGTGTTTCGCGAAGAGCCGCTAGTCTACGCTAGTCAAACGCTCAGTCAAACTCTTACTCAAAACGCTTAGTCAAACGGTCAATGTTATTTAAACCTTCCTCGCAAGAGCCCTAAGTTGAGATTCGTCCATGGCGGAACAGCACGCCGTGGTTGTGGCTTATCCAGGGCAAGGCCACATCAATCCGCTGATGCAGCTCTCCCTGCGCCTGGCGAGCTCCATGGGATTCTTCGTCACCTTCGTCACGACGAGGGGCAACCACGAGAGCATTCTAGCGGCGTGGGAACGGCAGGGCGTGGCGCCGCCGTGGGAGCGCGGCCTCTCCATCCAAATGCGCCCCATCCCCGACGATGTGCTCCCGCCGCGCTCCATGGGCGGGATCTTCCACTTCCTCGAGGGCGTCAAGAAGCTCGGTCCCGGACTGGAGGAGCTCATGGAGGCACTGGCCAAGGACCCTAGCATGCCGCCGGTGTCGTGCGTCGTATCGGATGCGTTCTTGCTGTGGGCGGCGGGAGTGGCGCGCCGATTTGGAGTGCCCTGGGTGATGTACTTCCCCTTGCCGGTCTTGGCGTTCCTGATTTACCACCATGCTAGTGCTACCGAGGTCCTCTCATCTCGCGATCCAGGTAATCGAGATTTCGGAGCATAGAGCGAGTAGATTCGTGTTCTTGACAGTGAGCGAAAAACTAATACGCATCCTTGTGGCCAGAATGCGAGGATCTTATCGAGTGCCCGGGCGTGATCCCGCTGCATCCACTGGAGTTGCCATCGCTCGTCTGCAATCCCCAGGACACGACTCACGAGCTACTGCGAGGGATGAGCGATGGCGCGAGGAACAGCGCTGCTTGGGTCTTCTTCAACACTTGCCCCGCGCTGGAGCAGCCGCTCATCGATGCGGCGAGGGAGCAGGGGTTTGATAGGTTCGTACCAGTCGCACCACTGCTCCCACCCAGCTTCCTCGGACTAGGCGACCTGGATCATCGATCATCGCCCCAGGAGTTTTTCACGAGCTCGCTCTGGGAGCAAGATCTCAGCTGCCTCGATTGGCTCGATCGCCAGCCGCCACGATCCGTGCTCTACATCTCCTTCGGCAGCATAGCGGCGATGAATTTCTCGCAGCTGGAAGTCCTGCTCGGTGGATTGCTCGACCTTGGCGAGAGATTCCTGTGGGTGCTTCGCCCGGATCTCGTCTCGGACATGGGAGAGGAAGATCACGCACGATTCCTTGACAGGGCGAAAGATCTGGGCCTCGTCGTTCGCTGGGCGCCGCAACTCCAGGTCCTCCGCCATGGATCAACCGCGGCCTTCCTCACTCACTGCGGATGGAATTCCACGTTTGAAAGCATTTGCGCTGGAGTGCCGACGATCTGCCAGCCCTGCTTCGCGGAGCAAAAGGCCAACGCCAAGTACGTCGTGGAGGTGTGGAAGACGGGCGTGAAGCTCGCAAAGGGTCATCGCGGAGATTTCTCCAAAGAGGACGTGCTGCGCGCCATAAGCGCGGTGATGGGCGGTGGCGAGCAGACCGATTCGATCCGGAAGAGAGCCGCGGATCTGCGCGATGCGTGCCGGAAGGATTTCCAAGAGATGAGCGGGCTCAAGGCATTCGCGGCCGATCTCCTCGCCAAGAACAAGAGCGCGGAATTCTGAACGGCTAAGATCGAACCCAAGATATCCGACGGTTCCGTTTAAATAAGTGAATATGCTGCGGCATTTAGGGTTCTTGAGCTTGATGGATGCGAAGAGCGTGTAGCGGCGAGCACATCTACCCCCAGCTTTGTTCTCTTGCACAGCGCTGCGGCAAAGATCCGGCGGCAGCCAAGTGGGTTCACTCGCAGATCGTCGCCTGCGGCTATGGAAGCGATCGATTTCTGGGGAATCTCGTCGTACAGATGTATGGCGGCTGCGGGCGCGTGGAGGACGCGATGGATGCGTTCCGCCGGATCCAGCAGCCCAATGTCTTCTCTTGGGCGATTCTGGCGGCGGCACTGCTGCACAGCGATCGGCTCCGAGAGGGCCGCGAGGTTTTCTCGCGAATGCCGCAGCACAATGTGGTGTCGACCACGGCGATGCTCGCCGCGCTCGTCTCGGCCGGGCTGATGGAGCAGGCAATGGCGGTGTTTGCGAGCATGAAGGAAAGGAATGCCGTGACATGGACTGCGCTTGTTACCGGATTCAGCGATGGTGCTGCCGCGCTCGAGGCGTTTGGAAAAATGCCGCAGTGGGATTGCGTGGCGCTAAACGCAATGCTCGCTGCAAATTTCCAAGAAGGGCATTTTGGCATGACGAAAGATTGTTTCGATAGGATGCCATGGAAGAACGAGGTGTCGTGGAACACGATCTTAGATGCTTTCTCGCAACGAGGTCTGATCTTTTCAATCTTGGAGAAGTTCTGGAGAATGCCAATGTGGACTATTGTTTCGTGGAACACTATGATCGCGGCATTTGCCAGAGTGGGGGATATGTATAACGCAAAGAAATCTTTTGACACCGCTCCAGAGCGCGACCTGATCTCCTGGAACAGTCTCTTGGAAGCGTGTAGTAACATCGACGAGTCGAGGAAAGTGTTCGATCTTTCGCCCAAGTGGAGCTCGGCAACTTGGAGCTCTATGATCGTGGCACTTGCACAAAGCAATCGCGTCAAAGAAGGCGTGGAGCTCCTGCTTCGCGCGGCGATGGAGCTCGAGGGATTCCATCCCGAGCCCGGCACTCTCACCGCTCTCATCACCGCCTGCACCACCACCGGGTCACTCGAGCAGGGAAGAATCCTCCACGAGTTCCTCGGCAATTCAATCGCTTGCGACGATTCCCACGGGCTTTCTCTGGCGAGCGTGATGCTCCGCATGTATAGCGAGTGTGGATGCCTCGAGGGGGCCGAGCTCGTCTTCTCGTCCATGCCGGAGCAGGATCTCGACTTGGTCGCGTGGAGCTCTATGATCTGTGCGTACGCCCATCACGGACAGGGCGAGCGAGCGCTGGATCTCTTCCGGGCTATGAGCGCCGCCGGAGTGGAGCCCGACGATGTGGTATTCGTGAGCATCATTTCGGCTTGCAGCCACAGTGGTCTACTCCATCACAGCCGGGTGTTCTTCCACTTGATGGCTGGGGAGTTTTCGATCGCGGCAGGGCTGGATCAGTACAAGAGCATCGTCGATGCACTGGGCCGCGCGGGAATGATCGAGCTAGCTCTCGAGCTCTTGCAAACCATGCCTTTCTTCCCGGATAGAAGCTCTTGGACGGCGTTTCTAGGGGCGTGTAATAGCCATAGAAGGAATGTGAGCGTGGATGTGGAGCTCGAGGGGCTTAGCGGTGCGCTCTACGTGCTCCTGGCCAACTCGAAGCTTTGTTAATATTCTTAAGAATATGCTTTTCGATAAAGCTTTCTGAGGATATTCTAAGATGCTTTGCTAGGAGCATATGCTTTTCGATAATATGCTAAGATGCTTATATTGATCTAGGTTTAGGGCTAACAGGGGAGCGAAGGCGCGCGCGATCGAGACAAAATGCGGCCGACACCGATGTAAGTTCTCCTCGATTCTATTCCCGATCGCGTGTTCCGGATGGATCCGCGGGCGAAATCTCCCCTCCATATTTCCTTGAAAGATTTCGCTCTTGTAGGATCGCGGCGCCGCCGCTGATTTCGTGTTTCCAGCGATGATCTGCGGGACATGGACGCGAATGGAGGCGGCGATCGGCCGCATGCGGTGGTATTCCCGTTTCCATCGCTGGGCCACATCATCCCGATGATGCATCTCTCCTGCCGGTTGGAAGCGCTGGGGTTTCTCATCACTTTCGTCAACACGGAGCACAACCATCTCCGGATCCTTCACGCATGGAGGGCGAGACGAATCCCGCTGCCGGAGGAGCACGAAGTTCACATCAATATGGTGGGGCTGCCCGACGCCAACATGCCTTCTCTCGAGACTATCAACGTGTTTGAGGCGATCATGTCCACAGACAGGCTCCGCGGCGCTTTTGAGAGAATGATCGGCAAGCTGGTGGAGAGCCAGAGCTGTCCTCCAGTTTGTATCATCGCAGATGGATTTCTTTCTTGGACTCAAGACATTGCTCAGGAGTTTAGTCTACAGTGGGCCGTGTTCTGGGCATCGTCCGCGGCAACGAGCTTGATCTCTATGCACATTCCCGACTTGATGGAAAGAGGCCTCGCTCCTTTGAAAGGTACGTTTCCCTCTTTTCTCTTTTGTTTCTCTTTATTGAGTTTGTTTTCCTTTGCAGCTGAAAACGAGCATAGCTACATTTCGTTCATAGACGGTATGCCAACAATATCTTCCAGTGATCTCCCGACTTCCATCGCCAGGCAGGATCAATATGATCCTGGTTTTAGGCATAGAATCGAGAGGATACAACGTGTGAAGCGAGCCGACTGGATCTTTGCTAATACTTTCATGGCTCTGGAGCACAACGAGCTCCGGGCCATGCAAGGGCGGGTCCAGAACAAGCTCCTCCCAGTTGGTCCGGTTCTCTCGCTTGGGTTCTTAGAAATAAGTGACGGAACGGCAGATATCGAGATCACCATCGATGATTCTGTGGAAGACGACAGGTGTATAGACTGGCTAGACAGACAAGGAGCTCTTTCGGTGCTGTATGTCTCTTTTGGCAGCATCGCTCATCTCTCTGGACGGCAGCTGGAACAGGTCGCTCAAGGATTGGAGGCTTGCTCTTACCCGTTTCTGTGGGTGATACGGAACGAGCTGGTCCAGACTATGTCAGCTGACGTTCGAAACGCTTTCACGGAGAAAGTTAGAGGCCGCAGTCTCGTGATTCCATCAGCTCCGGCTCGCGTGCTCAAACATCCTTCATTGGGAGCTTTCGTGACGCACTGCGGATGGAATTCTACGCTGGAAGGCATCAGCGTGGGGCTTCCAATGCTGTGCTGGCCGTGCTTCGCTGACCAGATGCTAAACTGCCGCTACATCGTCAAGGAGTGGAGAATAGGAATCGAGTTTGCGAAGGCAGCAACTGGTTTGGTGGACAAGTCAGAAGTTGAAAGGGTGGTGAGGGCGGTGTTAGAGGGAGACCAAGGTCGGCAGATCAGGCGAAGGATTCGCTCCTTGAGAGACGCCGCAAGAACTGCATTGATGGCCGGGGGACTTTCACGAAAAAGTTTGGAAGAGTTCGCAGAGGCTATGAAGTCTGAGATGCGATCCAGCTTTTTTTTCTAGCCTGTCTACTGGCATGGCGGAATGGGGGGCTGACAACCATGTTACTTCGACTTAACTATACCAATCGTTTTGAGATCAAGTCAACAAAGGCGGACAAGTTCCTATCGGATGACCCACCTTCTGTCACGGTACTTCTAATCTCATTTCTAAGTTCTATGGCTCTTTTCCTGATTTCTTTTCCAGGATCTTCCACCATGAGCCGCCTGATCACTTGATGAACCACCTCCTTGCTCGCCACACCGTGACAGGAGCCTCGGAAAAAGCTCAGCCCGACCTTCCAGTCGTCGACGATGATCTTACAGTTGAGATGTTGCTCGGCGAAGCAAGGCCAGCATAGCAAAGGAACTCCACTGCAGACGGCTTCTAAGGTGGAATTCCACCCGCAGTGCGTCAGAAAGCCTCCAACGGACGGATGCTTGAGAACTTGAAGCTGCGGTGCCCAGGAAATCACCAGTCCCTGCGACTTAGTCCTCACGACGAAGTCCTCGCAGAAGTTAGGAGCTTCAGACTCGCTCACAAGGTTCGGCCTCATCACCCACAGGAATGGCTGCCCGCTCGATTCGAGGCCTAGAGCCAACTTCTCTATCTGGTTCGCTTTCAACGTCGCCATGCTTCCGAAAGACACGTATAGGACCGACCTCGGCTCTCTCTCGTCGAGCCAGCTCAAGCAGTGCATATCTTCCTTCCAAACTCCTTCGGCCGACACAGTGTTCTCATCAGCTGGATGGTCAGACAAGAACGAGCTGGGTAGCAGGGGCCCGATGGTCAAGAACTTTGCGGGACGAAGAAGCTCCTGGATGGCAGCAACGACCTTGCGCTCCAGCTCCTCGACGGTATTCAGGAAGATGCAAGCTGCCTCCTTGTTCCGGGAGAAAATGCGAGATCTTCGCTCGAGCCCCTCGGGGGTGGAAGTAAGCAGGGAGGATGGGATATCTTTGATGGAAAGACTGTCGATCCCAGGGATGAAGTCGATGACAGAGTCCGGATCACTCGTCTCTGGCTCACACAGCAACAGCGACATTGTCAAGCGGCAGAATTTCTCCTCTCAATCAAGCACAGACCTGTGAAAGGTAGCATGCCTCGGGAGATCAGTTGAGGGAGATTGCAATTGATGAGAAAAGTCGCTGCCGAGGCGGTCCACATAGCAATTCTGGGGAGCTTGAGCCTGTCCGCAAGATCTTGGCCCATCTCGACGAAGGAATCCAGCAGGATGCAGCAGATTGGAGAGCTCCAAACTCCATCGCCACCGAGTCCCGAGATGAAGGCAGCGAGATTGTCCTCGGCCTCCTCGAGAGCGTCTAGAACGGCAGAGAGTTGGCTCGTGCTCGGCAGGCCAGCGATGTGGCTGATCTCCAAGACGCTGGGAGGGAGTGGAAGGACGCGGACGTGTGGATTGGGGGAGCGCTGCATGCGATGGACGTCTTGCTGTGGAACTAGGAGCGTGGTGATGAGATCTGGGCCGCAGAGACGAGCCAAGAGGTGGAGGAGGGGATTGATGTGGCCTTGGAGTGGCAACGGAAGCGCTACTATGTGCAAAAGAGATGCTGCTGCCATGGTCGCCAACAAAATTCCAACCTAGGTTCTTTGTCTATGACAATGTAAAATATATTCTTTTTTAATTTTATTATTTATACAATTGTTTTTGTCTGGATATTTTATCATGCAGGGTAAATATTCATAATACCTATTTTTTCATTTATGTTGCTCATGAGATTTCAAAATTAATTTCATTCTTTATTAAAATAATATTTCTTTGATAAGCTGTTCAAAAAGATCAGTTGTTATTTTTTACTTAGAAAATTTAAATAAACATTATATTATATAATATAAAGATGGTCTATAGTTCGATTCGGTTGTCTGTCGTTTTTCCTTGGCCAGCTGTTTCGCTGTTTAGCACTTTTTTTCTTGGTATGATGATGGAAACAAGACAGCAGCCATTCAGTTCTCTCTTTGATCGTGTACACACAAGCACTAAGCAAATGGATTCCAGGCTTTCTAAGGCTTTTGCCAGGCCAGAATTTCCATCCTCGTCCTCAAGGCACCAAGCAATGGAAGAGTAGCAAAGGTGAAGAACTTTCAATCTTCTCACATTTTGGGTGGTAGCTTATAAGTTGACGATAGCACAATGTGGAGCACTGGATCCATGCCTTCGTCGTGAGAGCACACAAGAAGTAAAAGCTTGAGAACTGTTTAGCTTTTCCTTTTCTCCGTCAATGGGCTCTTCGACTGGTGCCAGGAGGCTCGCTCCTCACGCAGCGGTTCTTCCCATTCCAACCCAAGGCCACATCTCCCCACTCCTCCACCTCTCAAGAGCTCTGGCCTCGCGAGGCTTCGGCATAACTTTCATCAACACGGAGGCCAACCAGCGGGACTTGAAGAACATCGTTTCGAAGGAGAGCTATGGCTGTGGTGGCGGCATTCGCTTCGAGACGGTCCCGGGCATCCAAGCGAGCGACGTCGACTTGGCGGTCCCGGAGAAGCGGCGGATGTTCTCCGAGGCAGTGATGGAGATGCAGGCTCCAGTGGAGAGCTTGCTCATCAGGAACATGGCCAGAGACGATGATCTCGTTCCTCCGGTCTCGTGCTTCGTCTCGGATATGTTCTTCCCGTGGTCCGCGGAAGTAACAAGAAGGATTGGAATCCCAGAGGTCAAGTTCTGGACTGCCAGTGCCTCTTGCGTTTTGCTCGAGTGCGCGGTTCCGCAAATGTTGGAGAAGGGAGACATTCCAGTCCAAGGTAAAGCTTGAGGCACTTCTTTCTTTTTTCCCTTTCCTTCTTTCGAGAAGCTCTAACGTGTTCCGCCAGATCGTTCCATTGAGAAGTGCATAACTTACGTAGACGGCTTGTCACCACTACCAATGTGGAGCCTCCCGGGCGACTTTTCTGCCAGTGACGACGACCCGGGATTCGCTGGCAAGTGCGCTAGAGCCAAGATCTTCGCCACAACGTCGTGGGTTTTGATAAACTCGTTCGAAGAACTCGAGGGCAGTGCCACCTTCCAAGCTTTCCGAGACATCTCTCCCAAAACAATCGCAGTGGGTCCTGTTTTCACCATGATCCCCGGCTCCGAACCACGCAACAGTGCCCTGTGGGAGGAAGACACCGAGAGTTTATCCTGGCTCGGCAAGCAAAGTCCCGGCTCGGTTCTCTACATTTCCTTGGGCAGCATCGCGACTCTCAGCTTCGATCAGTTCAAGGAGTTCTCCGAGGGACTGAGGCTTCTCCAGCGTCCGTTTATCTGGGCCATCCGACCCAAGTCGGTCAACGGCATGGAGCCCGAGTTCCTGGAGCGTTTCAAGGAGACCGTGAGGAGCTTCGGACTGGTTGTGAGCTGGGCTCCTCAGGTGGACATCCTCCGCCACCCTTCCACGGCTGGATTTCTCAGTCACTGCGGCTGGAACTCCATCCTCGAGAGCGTAGCATCCGCGGTGCCCATGCTTTGCTGGCCGTGCGTCGCGGAGCAGAATCTAAACTGCAAGTTGATAGTGGAGGACTGGAAGATCGGTCTCAAGTTCTCGAACATGACGAGGTCGGATCCTCGCGACGTGGTGGTGGCGAGGGACGAGTTTGTGGAGGTGGTGGAGCGATTCATGGGAGCTGACAGTGAGCATTTGAGGATTAACGTCAAGAAGCTGAGCGAGGAGGCTCGTAGGGCAGTGTCTAGAGGTGGCTCCTCGTATGAAAACCTGGAGAGATTTGCCGAAGTAATGAAGACTTTCTTACATACCATAAACTAAGCAAACTATTCTCAAACATATTGGAATAAAATTATTATTTTAGTGACAAGATAAAATTTTCCAGATTTTTGTATGAAGAGCCTCCCACACACACTGCTTTTCTAGCTTCTTCACTCAGCTTCTTTGCATTACTCCTCATGTATTGCGCAATACCATTGTCATCTTCCATCAATTTCTTCACCACCTTTTGAAATTCATCCCTCACCACAAGCTTCCCAGATCCCACATTGGAAAATCGCAATCCAATCTTCCAATCTTCCACCACCAACTTGCAATTCAGATTTTGCTCCGCAACGCAAGGATGGCAGATCATAGGCACACCAGCAGCCATGCTTTCCAGCACAGAATTCCATCCACAGTGAGTGAAAAATCCCCCAATAGAAGCATGCTGGAGAACTTCTCGCTGGGGAGCCCAAGTTATAACTCGCCCAAAACTTCTTACTCTCTCTTTGAGCGGTTCCAGAAACTCGGGCTCCATACCCGGCACAGACTTTGGACGAATCCCCCATAGAAATGGCCTCTGGAGCTCTTCCAGCCCTGCCGCTATCTCTTTAGCTTGTTCCAAGCTCAGGGTGGCGATGCTACCAAGAGCTATGTAGAGCACGGATCTTTCTTCTTGCTCGTTGAGCCATGCTAAGCACTCGTTGTCTTCCTTCCAGAGGCTTGCATTTTTCATGGATGGTGAAGATAGAAACGCGGGACCTATAGGTATTATCCTTGGGATGTAATCTCTCACGGCCTCAAGCGCGCCACCTTCGAGCTCCTCGAAAGTGTTGGCCAGGAACCAAGAATTCTGGGGGATGTTTTTTAGCCTCTCGTACCTGCGAGCGAAACTTGGATCATCCCTGAAAGCAAAAACCCGGGGAAGACTCCACACAGGCAATGGTGACAAGCCACGCACGTACTCGATGGATTTGTCCATAGAGAAATCTGGAAGAAACCATGGAAAAGAAAATAAGTAAGGAACCATGGTTGATAATCATACCTTCGACGGGTATGTCTCCTCTCTCCAAGAGCAAGGGAATGGAAAAATCCAGAAGAACACAAGCAGCACTCGTAGGCCAGAAGTAAACGCTTGGAACTCCGATTCTGGCCGCCAGATCTCTCATCCAGGGGAACAACTCGGAGACGATGCACGAAACAGGGGGGCCCTTGGCGATGATCTTCTCTCGTAGCAGCCTCTCCACTGGCGCTTCCATGTCGAGAATAGCCCGGTAGAAGATCTGGCGATTCTCGAGCTGGGTCAAGTCGAGGCCGTGGTGACCCGCCTCCAGCCCGGGGAAGGTCTCGAAGCGAATGCCCTCGACGCCATCTCCCAGCATTTCCTTGATGCTGTCTTGATTGGCCTCCGTGTTGATGAAAGTGATGAGGATGGATCCATGAGAAGCGAGTGCTTGGCAGAGATGCAAGAGTGGAGAGATGTGGCCTTGAACTGGGAGAGGAACGGCGACAACATGAGGTGTGATCTTGGAACCCATTATACGCGTGCTTATCTCGTCTTTCCAATCGAGAGAGAGAGAGAGAGAGAGAGAGAGAGAGAGAGAGAAGTATATCGAGGGTAGTATATTCTTGAATAGAGTTGACTTTGGATCAAAGTTTAGGAAGTTTTCACTGCTTGAGCAAATCTCTCCAGGTTTTCATACGAGGAGCCACCTCTAGACACTGCTCTACGAGCCTCCTCGCTCAGCTTCTTGACGTTAATCCTCAAATGCTCACTGTCAGCACCCATGAATCGCTCCACCACCTCCACAAACTCGTCCCTCGCTACCACCACCTCCACAAACTCATCCCTCGCTACCACCACCTCGTAAGGATCCGGCATGGCCACGCGCGAGAACTTGAGACCGATCTTCCAGTCCTCCACTATTAGCTTGCAGTTTAGATTCTGCTCCGCGACGCACGGCCAGCAAAGGATGGGCACCGCGGATGCTACGCTCTCGAGGATGGAGTTCCAGCCGCAGTGACTGAGAAATCCAGCGGTGGAAGGGTGGCGGAGGATGTCCACCTGAGGAGCCCAGCTCACAACCAGTCCAAAGCTCCTCACGGTCTCCTTGAAACGCTCCAGGAACTCGGGCTCCATACCGGCGACCGACTTGGGTCGGATGGCCCAGATAAACGGACGCTGGAGAAGCGTCAGTCCCTCGGAGAACTCCTTGAACTGATCGAAGCTGAGAGTCGCGATGCTGCCCAAGGAAATGTAGAGAACCGAGCCGGGACTTTGCTTGCCGAGCCAGGATAAACTCTCGGTGTCTTCCGTCCACAAGCTTGCATTGCTGGAGCCGGGGACCATGGTGGAAAGAGGACCCACTGCGATTGCTTTGGGAGAGATGTCTCGGAAAGCTTGGAAGGTGGCACTGCCCTCGAGTTCTTCGAACGAGTTGATCAAAACCCATGACGTTGTGGCGAGGCTCTTGGCTCTAGCGCATCTGCGAGCGAATCCCGGCTCGTCGTCACTGGCAGAAAAGTCGCCCGGGAGGCTCCACATTGGTAGTGGTGACAAGCCGTCTACGTAAGTTATGCGCTTCTCAATGGAACGATCTGGTGGAACACGTATATGGACGTCAGTGCTTCTCGAAAGAAGGAAAAATAAAAAAGAAGAAAGAAGCTTTACCTTGGACTGGAATGTCTCCCTTCTCCAGCATTTGGGGAAACGAGTTGTAGAGCAAAATGGAAGAAGCACTGGCGACCCAGAACTTGACCTCTGGGATTCCGATCCTTCTGGGTACTTCCGTGGACCACGGGAACAACATATCCGAGATGAAGCATGAGACCGGAGGAACGAGATCATCGTCTCTGGCCATGCTCCTGATGAGCAAGCTCTCCACTGGACCCTGCATCGCCATCAATGCCTCGGAGAACATTGGCCGCGTCTCCGGGGCCGTGAAGTCGGCCTCGCTCGTTTGGACCCCGGGGACCGTCTCGAAACGAATGCTGCCACCATAGCCAAAGCTCTCCTCCTGTGAAACGATGTCCTTCAGGTCCCTGTGGTTGCCCTCCGTGTTGATGAAAGTTATGACGAAGCCTCGCGAGGCCAGAGCTCTGGAGAGATGGAGGAATGGAGTGATGTGGCCTAGAGTTGGAATGGGAAGAACCGCTGCGTGAGGAGCGAGCCCCTCGGCACCAGTAGAAGAACTCATTGACGAAGAACAAAGAAAATTCAAGCTTACTTCGTGAGTGCTGTGGAAGGGTTTCTCACATTACGTTTTCTGGATCGCTCCAAGGCTGAGCTTAAGAATCAGTGCGTTTTGCAAAGGTTTTAATCTAGTGGTCTCCACAGTTCTAATCTCCTTATTGCACGTGGTGGTTCAGGAATTTAATACTCCTCTTGATTACTCCCTCAAGCCATCTATTTCTTTGGGAAGGAAAATAACACTTCCACCAACCTATACACTTTCAAGCATCATCTTTATGTGCTCTTGGTGGTTGGTCTGTCTGTGCATTGGCCCCGCCCTCATGCCCGATGATCCTCCTGCCACCAGCTGCGGCATTGGATATAAATTACCTTATGAAACTTGACAAACTTGTCCGAACTTTCATATGAAGATCTTGACTTCTTTCACTGTTGCTCCCTGAGCAGCCTCGCTGAGCTCCTTCACATTACATCTAAAGGAATCGCCATTCTCAGCTCCCATGAGCTGCTCCACCACCTCCGCAAACTCGTCCCCGCCACCACCTTGCGAGGATCTCTCATGGGCGAGAACTTAAGATCGATCTTCCAGTCTTCCACTATAAGCTTGCAGTTGAGATTCTGCTCGGCAACTCATGGCCAGCAAAGGATTGGCACCGCTGAAGATACGCTCTCGCAGCCTGTGGAAGGATGCTGGAGGATTTCCAATTGAGGAGCCCAGCTCACAACCAGTCCAAAGCTGATCACTTGCAAGGAGAGCCTTGAAAGCCTCCAGGAACTCGGGCTCTATGCCAGGGACCAACTTGAGACAAATGGCCATTATAACTGGCCTCTAGAGCTCTTCCAATCTTGCTAGTATTTCTTTAAGCTGTTCCTTGCTCTTTAGTTTTTTTCATTTTTTGTTTTCCATTTTTTAGTGTTTAATTCTTTTATCGTGGTTCCCCTTTGACTCCAGAACTTTACACTCTCTTTCTTCTTATTATTTTTTCTTTGTTTTTCTTTAGTTTCTTCTCCTCGCATCAGTTTCTGACATAAGGCATCGCCTTGGAGTCTACACTAGCACATTGGCCATGGGTTCTTGCACGGGACAAAGTCCAGCACATTCCCTCATGGTTGCGTGTTTTGGAGATAGCATCCCCCAAAGGATGAAAGTGAGAGCTTGGCAGAGATGCAAGAGTGGAGAGATGTGGCCTTGAGCTGGGAGGGAGAGAGAAAGAGTAATATATTCTTGAATAGAGTAGATGCTTTGAAGTTTTCTCTTAGCTTGGATTGAAGTTCAGGAAATTTTCACTGCTTGACCAAATCTCTCCAGGTTTTCATACGAGGAGCCACCTCTAGACACTGCTCTGCGAGCCTCCTCGCTCAGCTTCTTCACGTTAATCCTCAAATGCTCACTGTCAGTTCCCATGAATCGCTCCACCACCTCCACAAACTCGTCCCTCGCCATCACCTCGGGAGGATCCGGCATGGTCACGCACGAGAACTTGAGACCGATCTTCCAGTCCTCCACTATCAACTTGCAGTTTAGATTCTGCTCGGCGACGCACGGCCAGCAAAGAATGGGCACCGCGGATGCTACGCTCTCGAGGATGGAGTTCCAGCCGCAGTGACTGAGAAATCCAGCGGTGGAAGGGTGGCGGAGGATGTCCACCTGAGGAGCCCAGCTCACAACCAGTCCAAAGCTCCTCACGGTCTCCTTGAAACGCTCCAGGAACTCGGGCTCCATGCCGTTGACCGACTTGGGTCGGATGGCCCAGATAAACGGACGCTGGAGAAGCCTCAGTCCCTCGGAGAACTCCTTGAACTGATCGAAGCTGAGAGTCGCGATGCTGCCCAAGGAAATGTAGAGAACCGAGCCGGGACTTTGCTTGCCGAGCCAGGATAAACTCTCGGTGTCTTCCTTCCACAAGCTTGCCTTGTTAGAGCCGGGGACCATGGTGAAAACAGGACCCACTGCGATTGCTTTGGGAGAGATGTCTCGGAGGGCTTGGAAGGTGGCACTGCCCTCGAGTTCTTCGAACGAGTTGATCAAAACCCACGACGTTGTGGCGAAGCTCTTGGCTCTAGCGTATCTGCGAGCGAATCCTGATTCGTCAATGGTAGAAAGGTCGCACGGGAGGCCCCAGATTGGCAGTGGTGACAAGCCGTCTACGTAAGTGATGTACTTTTCAATGGAACGATCTGGCGGAACGCGTTAGTGCTTCTCGAAAGAAGGACAAATAAAAAAGAAGAAAGAAGCCTTACCTTGGACTGGAACGTCTCCCTTCTCCAGCATTCGCGGAAACGAGCAATCGAGCAAAACGCAAGAGGCACTGGCGGTCCAGAACTTGACCTCTGGGATTCCGGTCCTTCTTGCTACTTCCGCGGACCACGGAAGCAACATATCCGAGATGAAGCACGAGACCGGAGGAACGAGATCATCGTCTCTGGCCATGCTCCTGATGAGCAAGCTCTCCACTGGACCCTGCATCGCCATCACCGCCTCGAAGAAGATTTGCCGCGTCTCCGGGGCCGTGAAGTCGGCCTCGCTCGCTTGGATCCCGGGGACCGTCTCGAAACGAATGCCGCCGCCATAGCCAAAGCTCTCCTCCTGCGAAACGACGTCCTTCAAGTCCCTGTGGTTGCCCTCCGTGTTGATGAAAGTTATGACGAAGCCTCGCGAGGCCAGAGTTCTGGAGAGATGGAGGAATGGAGTGATGTGGCCTAGAGTTGGAATGGGAAGAACCGCTGCGTGAGGAGCGAGCCCCTCGGCACCAGTAGAAGAACCCATTGACGAAGAACAAAGAAAATTCAAGCTTACTTCGTGAGTGCTGTGGAAGGGTTTCTCACATTACCTTTTCTGGATAAGCTTGAAATCGCTCCAAGGCCGAGCTTAAGAATCAGTGCGTTTTGCAAAAGGTTTTAATCTAGTGTTCTCCACACTTCTAATCTCCTTATTGCACGCGGTGGTTCAGGAATTTAATACTCCTCTTGATTACTCCCTCAAGCCATCTATTTCTTTGGGAAGGAAAATAACACTTCCACCAACCTATACACTTTCAAGTATCATCTTTATGTGCTCTTGGTCTGTCTGTGCATTGGCCCCGTCCTCATACCCGATGATCGTCCTGCCACCAGCTGCGGCATTGGATATAAATTACCTTATGAAGCTTGACGAACTTGTCCAAACTTTCATATGAAGATCCTGCCTTCTTTCACTGTTGCTCCCTGAGCAGCCTCGCTGAGCTCCTTCACATTACATCTAAAGGAATCGCCATTCTCAGCTCCCATGAGCTGCTCCACCACCTCCGCAAACTCGTCCCCGCCACCACCTTGCGAGGATCTCTCATGGGCGAGAACTTAAGATCGATCTTCCAGTCTTCCACTATAAGCTTGCAGTTGAGATTCTGCTCGGCAACTCATTGCCAGCAAAGGATTGACACTGCTGAAGATACACTCTCGCAGCCTGTGGAAGGATGCTGGAGGATTTCCAATTGAGGAGCCCAGCTCACAACCAGTCCAAAGCTGATCACTTGCAAGGAGAGCCTTGAAAGCCTCCAGGAACTCGGGCTCTATGCCAGGGACCAACTTGAGACAAATGGCCATTATAACTGGCCTCTAGAACTCTTCCAATCTTGCTAGTATTTCTTTAAGCTGTTCCTTGCTCTTTAGTTTTTTTCATTTTTTGTTTTTCCATTTTTTAGTGTTTAATTCTTTTATCGTGGTTCCCCACTTTACACTCTCTTTCTTCTTATTATTTTTTCTTTGTTTTTCTTTAGTTTCTTCTCCTCGCATCAGTTTCTGACATAAGGCATCGCCTTGGAGTCTACACTAGCACATTGGCCATGGGTTCTTGCACGTGACAAAGTCCAGCACATTCCCTCATGGTTGCGTGTTTTGGAGATAGCATCCCCCAAAGGATGAAAGTGAGAGCTTGGCAGAGATGCAAGAGTGGAGAGATGTGGCCTTGAGCTGGGAGAGAGAGAGAAAGAGTAATATATTCTTGAATAGAGTAGATGCTTTGAAGTTTTCTCTTAGCTTGGATTGAAGTTCAGGAAATTTTCACTGCTTGACCAAATCTCTCCAGGTTTTCATACGAGGAGCCACCTCTAGACACTGCTCTGCGAGCCTCCTCGCTCAGCTTCTTCACGTTAATCCTCAAATGCTCACTGTCAGTTCCCATGAATCGCTCCACCACCTCCACAAACTCGTCCCTCGCCATCACCTCGGGAGGATCCGGCATGGTCACGCACGAGAACTTGAGACCGATCTTCCAGTCCTCCACTATCAACTTGCAGTTTAGATTCTGCTCGGCGACGCACGGCCAGCAAAGCATGGGCACCGCGGATGCTACGCTCTCGAGGATGGAGTTCCAGCCGCAGTGACTGAGAAATCCAGCGGTGGAAGGGTGGCGGAGGATGTCCACCTGAGGAGCCCAGCTCACAACCAGTCCAAAGCTCCTCACGGTCTCCTTGAAACGCTCCAGGAACTCGGGCTCCATGCCGTTGACCGACTTGGGTCGGATGGCCCAGATAAACGGACGCTGGAGAAGCCTCAGTCCCTCGGAGAACTCCTTGAACTGATCGAAGCTGAGAGTCGCGATGCTGCCCAAGGAAATGTAGAGAACCGAGCCGGGACTTTGCTTGCCGAGCCAGGATAAACTCTCGGTGTCTTCCTTCCACAAGCTTGCCTTGTTAGAGCCGGGGACCATGGTGAAAACAGGACCCACTGCGATTGCTTTGGGAGAGATGTCTCGGAGGGCTTGGAAGGTGGCACTGCCCTCGAGTTCTTCGAACGAGTTGATCAAAACCCACGACGTTGTGGCGAAGCTCTTGGCTCTAGCGTATCTGCGAGCGAATCCTGATTCGTCAATGGCAGAAAGGTCGCGCGGGAGGCCCCAGATTGGCAGTGGTGACAAGCCGTCTACGTAAGTGATGTACTTTTCAATGGAACGATCTGGCGGAACACGTTAGTGCTTCTCGAAAGAAGGACAAATAAAAAAGAAGAAAGAAGCCTTACCTTGGACTGGAACGTCTCCCTTCTCCAGCATTCGCGGAAACGAGCAATCGAGCAAAACGCAAGAGGCACTGGCGGTATAGAACTTGACCTCTGGGATTCCGGTCCTTCTTGCTACTTCCGCGGACCACGGGAGCAACATATCCGAGATGAAGCACGAGACCGGAGGAACGAGATCATCGTCTCTGGCCATGCTCCTGATGAGCAAGCTCTCCACTGGACCCTGCATCGCCATCACCGCCTCGAAGAAGATTTGCCGCGTCTCCGGGGCCGTGAAGTCGGCCTCGCTCGCTTGGATCCCGGGGACCGTCTCGAAACGAATGCCGCCGCCATAGCCAAAGCTCTCCTCCTGCGAAACGACGTCCTTCAAGTCCCTGTGGTTGGCCTCCGTGTTGATAAAAGTTATGACGAAGCCTCGCGACGCCAGCGCTCTGGAGAGATGGAGGAGTGGAGTGATGTGGCCTTGGGTTGGAATGGGAAGAACCGCTGCGTGAGGAGCGAGCCCCTCGGCACCACTAGAAGAACCCATTGAACGAAGAAAAAAGCAAATTCAAGCTTACTTCTTGAGTGCTCTGGAAGGAAGGGACTATGCTGCCGTTTCTCACATTACCTCTTCTGGATTAGCTCTTACTTCAACATTACGCCACCTATACACTGTCAAATGTCATCTTTATGTCACGAATGGATATAGAATTTCCAAACCATATCTTATAAAACTTCCACAGCTTTGACGAACTTGTCCAAACTTTCATATGACGATCCTCCTTTCACTGCTGCTCGCTGAGCCGCCTTGCTGAGCTCCTTCACATTACGTCTAAAGGAATCGCCACTCTCGGCTCCCATGAGTTGCTCCACCACCTCCACAAACTCGTCCCTGGCCACCACCTTGCGAGGATCTCTCACGCGCGAGAACTTAAGACCGATCTTCCAGTCCTCCACTATAAGCTTGCAGTTGAGATTCTGCTCGGCAACGCACGGCCAGCAAAGGATTGGCACCGCCGAAGATACGCTCTCGAGAATAGAGTTCCAGCCGCAGTGACTCAAGTATCCACCTGTTGAAGGATGCCGGAGGATTTTCAGCTGAGGAGCCCAGCTCACAACCAGTCCAAAGCTGATCACTCTCTCCTTGAAAGCCTCCAGGAACTCGGGCTCCATGCCTGGGACCGACTTGGGACGAATGGCTAATATAAACGGCCTCTGGAGCTCCTCCAATCCTGCTAGTATTTCTTTAAGCTGTTCCAAGTCGAGCGTCCCGAGGCTGCCGAAGGATATGTAGAGAACCGACTGTGGCTTCTGCTCGTTGAGCCATGTCAGGCATTCTGTGTCTTCCTTCCAGAGGCTCGCGTTGTCTGCTAGCGAAGAAAGGAACACTGGTCCCACAGCTACAGTGTTTGGATTGATCTCTCTCAGCGCCTGGAATGCACCACTGCCCTCGAGTTCCTCGAAAGAGTTTACCAAAACCCCCGACACTGTCGCGACGTGGTTTATTCTGTTGTACCTGCGAGTAAAACCAGGATCGTCGCTGAAAGATAGTTCGCAAGGAAGGCCCCATAGCGGCAGTGGAGACAAGCCACGGACATACGTGATTGACTTGTCGATCGAGAGATCTGGAACTCAAAGTTAGAATCAGATACAACTCATAAAAAAGATGAAAGTTTTTTACCTCTGACAGGTATGTCTCCCTTCTCGAACATCTGAGGAACGGAGCACTCGAGCAGAATACAAGAGGCACTTGCGCACCAGAAGATAAAACTTGGAACTCCAATTCTCCTGGCAACATCTTCCGGCCACCTGAAGAGCATGTCGGAGATCAAGCACGATATTGGGGGATCTGCGCTGACTAGCTTGTCCTTGAGCAGCTTCTCGACTGGCCCTTCCATGTTGATCAAGCCTTGAGTGAAGATGAGCCGGCCTTCGTCATGAGATAAGTCAATACCAGTTCCTTGGATGCCCGGAACGGTCTCAAAACGAATGTCTAGGCCATGGCCGTCCTCCAAGGTGTTCTTCATACACTCCTGATTGGCCTCTGTGTTGATAAAAGTAATGACGAAGCCTCTCGAGGCGAGAGCTTGGGAGAGATGCATGAGTGGAGATACATGACCTTGTGTTGGAAGAGGAATTACGAAGACGTGAGGAACGCTCTCACGGCTGGAAGCCATCCAAAGTATGAGGCAACTGATGAAGAGAAGAACAGTGTCTTGAAAGAGATCCAAAGACGACAATATGTAAATAAAGATGTGGGGTGCCTCTAGTATAATTTCTGTACAGAAAGTTAGCAGGAGAATCAAACGCTTAACTTTGGACGGAAGTCGGCCGAAGCGAAGCGAGCAGTGATATCATCTACGCATGCCATCCTGATTCTTTCTGGAGTGGCCGGGGTGTCCAAAAGAAACCACCCGTGAAGTCCCGTTTCAGCTCTCGCAGAAGCGATAGCTTCTTTTACTGCAAAAAGCGCCGCTGCAGCTAAGAACAGCGGGGGTTCCCCCACTGCCTTCGACGAGTGGATGGCTCTTGGATTCGGAGCATCCTGGATTTAGTCACCATATCATCAGCCAAAGTCCTATGAAGGAAAGATTCCAAACCTTTAAGAGCGAGACTCGGAAGTCAATCGGAATATCGTTTACTGTTGGCAGTTTGTAAGTTCCGGGGCCTTGAGTGAAAAGATATCCGGGCTTTATCCAAGGATGAGCTTTGTCACCCCACTTAAGTTCTTCTAGTGCTACCCAGCCGAGGCCTTGGACAAACGCACCCTCAATCTACACGTACGTAGAAACTGTTAGCAAGTAGCAACTTTTCTACTCTTCGAACCTGGCCAATATCAATAGCGGGATTCAGCGAATGTCCCAAGTCCATGACGATGTCAACACGTCTCAAGTGTGAATCACCAGTAAGACAATCTATCTCTGCCTCGGCACAAGCAGCTCCATAAGTATAGTAGCTGAAAGGTGATCCTTTCCCTGTCTTCCAATCGAAACCAATGTCTGGTGTTATGTAAAACCCGTGTGCTGAGAGATCAATACGCTGTAAGTAACACGCCATAACCAGCTGCAATATAACAACAAAGATTAGCCAAAGAAACGTAACTTGGATTAGTACCTTCGCAAACGAGTCGTACTGAGACATCAATGGTCTCATCCTTTCTTTGATTTGGTTGCATGCATCGATAACAGCGGCACCATACATATCAGAGCTCGCAGAAGCCGCAGTAGGCGAAGCATTTGGTACCTTACATTCCAAGACGTGGTGAGCAGAACTTGAAAGGTGAAAAGCAGCGTACCTTGTCGGTGCTTGTTTCAGATATAAATACTGAGCTTATGGGAATATCGAACGCAGTGGCAGCGACCTGTGCGATTTTTGTGTGTAAACCTTGTCCCATTTCAACTCCACCATGTGTCACTAGAACTGTACCGTCTGTATAAACTTGGACCAATGCACCTGCCTGGACGAGAAAATTCCGTCATTTCCACCATCAAAGGCTGCCTGATTAAACCATTCACCTGATTAATAAACTTGGTTGTAAATGATATTCCAAACTTTGTAGGGACCATCGCTACTCCTCTTTTCTTCCACCGATTTTTCTTGTTAAATAAATCGATCTCATGCATACGTGAGGCAAGCTCACAAGAAGACTTCAACTCCGACCAAACCTGTTTTATACGACAGTTCTCGAGAACCTGGCTATAATGCAGCTCGTAACCTTCTCCTTGGAGATTAATTTCCTAAAAAAGTCAACAGTAAAAAACATAAGTTTTTGAGCGTCGGCAGCAAAAGAAAAAACGTTTTTTTAGAGATACACACCCTGATCTTTGAAGCAGGTACTCCCAGAGTTTTTGCAATGTGTTCAATCCAATTCTCCGTAACAAGCATCCCTTGAGGTCCGCCAAATCCGCGAAACGCTGTGTTGCTGGGAATGTTTGTAAAACATACGTTTCCAAATATGCGCACGTTAGGGATCACATAAACGTTGTCCGAATGGAACATGGATCTCTCCAGAACAGCGTCCGAAAGATCCAATGAGTTGCCACCATTGTTATATATCTGAAGGTCCAATGCCATAACTTTTCCCTCGTTTGTAAAACCAACCTTCACATTGAAGAGCGATGAATCAAAGCAACGCACACATGGATAAATAACAAGGTACCTTGTAACGCGCAAGGAAAGCATGCCTTTGACCAGTAATTGCCATGTCCACTTCTCTGTCAAGTACTAGCTTCACCGGCCTCCTTAAGAGATATGCAGGGACGGCCGCTGCAGCTGCTTCGACAAATCCACGAGTTTCCTTTCCTCCAAATCCACCGCCAATTCGTTTTGTCTTACAAACCACCCTATGCATTGGAATGCCCAAGACGTGCGCTACAGTATACTGGTGCTTCTGAGGTGCCTGTAGACATCAGAAACCTTGTAAGTTCTGGCCCCTTGAACGCAAGAATAGCTTACCTGTGTCGATGATAGCATCATAACCTCATTTCCACCATCCTGAATCCATACTGTTGTTCCATGCGGTTCTAAGTAAAAATGCTCCTGTCCTCCCATTTGCACAGTGCCTTCGACAATGTGATCGCATTTCCCACTGGCGAAACACTCTTGTACGTTCCCCTTCGAAAGGACTCGGGGCGCCTTCAGAAGAAAACTCTCAGCCTCAATGGCGTCTTCAATGCTCAGAATCGCAGGTAAGTCTTCGTAAACCACTTTGACCTTTAGTGCTGCGGCCCTTGCTGCATACTGAGTATCAGCAACAACAACTCCAATCACCTGGCACAGTGAAGAGCAATTAGCCATGACTAAAAAACATATATATTCCTACCTGACCAACACATGTGACAACGTTCGTTGCAAATAACTCTTCGTCATGCGCCACAGCTCCAATATCATTTCCTCCAGGAACGTCTTTTGCGCAAAAATAACCAGCGAAACCAGGAACAGTCTCCGCCTCTCGGTAGCTCACAGAAACGATACGAGCATGCGGTCTGGTACTCAAAACCAACGCACCATGCAGTCCATTGGGTGGAAGAGGCTCGTCATCAAGATATTGTGCTTCACCAGATACCTGTTGCATTTTCAGCTCAATTTTCGTGCGAAAGAAACTGTGGTGTTACCTGAAGCTCTGCTGAAACATGAGCGATAGACTGACCGACAGCTGATCCATCCACTATAGTTTTGAAGTTTTGCATCCCACTAGAAATGTCTCTCTTGTAAGGATCAGCTGCTGACATGAACCTTTCGGAAAACTCGTGCTCGACATTTTCATCCTGCTGAAGCTTGTCCGCCACCATCAAGAAATATTTGAAGAAAAAACTCAAAATGAGAGACCTCCTGAATTCGGCCATGCCTCCGGGAGCATTATCGGCAATGATGATGTCCTTCTGAAGCTCCGAAAGAGCACCTTCCAGGGTCGACTTGTCCCAAACCTTTCCTTGCATAAAAGTCTCGGTTTTGCTCGCACGAACGGGAACAGCGGCAACTCCACCATATACCAATGAAATCCCCGATACGAGCCATTTCCCCGTCTCCTCTTTTAGATGAACTCTCATCCCTGCGTTGACAAGAGCGATGTCGTCATCTCTGCGGTGAGACTGCTTAAACTCCTTTATATATTCGTTCTTCCTCGTCCATGGAAGAAAAACGCTGGCAAGAATCTCTCCTTTCCGCAATGCCACCCTGCGATACCCGATAAAGAAGTCGCTTGCCTGTACTGACCGCGGCAATCCACTGTCATCAACTAAGGTGAAAACGGCCCCCGCTGCTATCCAAAGAGGATTTAAATCCGAGATAGGACTAGCAGTACAAATGTTGCCTCCAATAGAGGAAACATTTCTTATTTGAACCCCTGCAAACCACTTCAACTGTGCCAAGAATGCGTCGCATCCAGATACTTCGTAAGCCTTCCTGTCCTTCACACAAGCATGCATCACTTCCCGGAGTTTTTCCAGCGTCACGGACGCACCAATATTAAGACCATCGTCGAGAACTTTGATGGCGTTGAGCTCTGCGACGTGAGTAGCTGCAATCAGTACCGGGTACCTCAAGTTCTTAAACCTTGTCTCTATGCCAACTTCACTGTTCCCGACCACCAACTTAGCATCCGGATACCGTTTCTTCAAATCCAGTAAGTCAGGCAGGCTTAACGGACGGAACCACTGCAAATCCTCAGCACCTTTCAGAACCAAAGACTGAACCTTCCTGGTCATTAGCTCGGGAGGAAAAATAAGCTCCCCCCGATCCTTGATCTCTGATGGTTTCTCCTGTACGCTACAGCAACCGGTTTTCTTCTCGGATCCACAGTCACAAGGCCTTCCAGTACCAGGACAGATCTTACCACCTTGAGAGGCCCGATTCACAGCGACTCCACTTGCCTTAGCAGAATCATCCCAGTAGAGGAAACTATCTGCTTTGGTGAACGACCGGAATGCCTCTAGAATAGGCCGGTAACCCGTGCATCGACATAAATTCCCCGCGAGGCTTTCTTCTATCTGTTCTTCTGTTGGTGGCATCTTGCAAGTCCTGAGCAGTGCGTACATCGACATGACGAAGCCTGGTGTACAAAAACCGCATTGCGAGCCATGTGTGTTAGCCAAGACTTCCTGTGCCAAAGTTTGCGAAGAGAAGTTATGGAGTATAGTTTTAGCATCAACGCTACCTGGACTTTGTGAAGGCCTTTACGCCGACTTCCAATTCCTTCCACGGTCATGACGTGCATGCCTTCGACTGAGTAGAGCGGAGCCAAGCAAGCGTTGATCGCTCGATGACTAAGAACAAAAGAAGAACAGCAGTTTAATTCTTTGCTCTCATCTCAACAGGGACAAGCTCACTTGATTTTGTCTTCTCCATTGTCGAAGAAAGAAAGCATCACTGTGCACGCTCCACACCCTCCCTCTCCACATCCCAATTTCGTTCCGGTCAAGCCAAGCCCTGGAAATAATCACCCGAACAAGAGCACCGATGCTGTGCAAATTCTCACAAATTCTCACCTCGGAGATACTCCAGCAGCGTCATGTGAGCTAACCCATCGGGAAGAATGTAGCGCTTCCCATTCACGTAGAGAATCGGCTCCTGGGGATCGCCGATCAATTCGATGCTTGCTTCCAGCGATCCCATCTGCTCAATTCGATCTGCGCGGCGGCGAGGAGCAAAGCGATGGAATCCACGCTCGAAAACCTAGGAGCTGGGATCGCTATCTATCTATCCATCTAAAACCCTTTTCCTCGCTACAGGAAAAATAGAGCACCAAATGGACCTGGAATATGCTCGTAAAAAACACGTGACCGCATTTCACGTTAATGGGAATTTACTTAGGATTGTTAAATCTAAGTATATTCTAATGGTATCTTGCTTAAGACTAAATAATAGTTTTTATTCAAGACTAACCATTTATATTAAATTAAAAGAAATTCTTTTGCCCTTAAATGTTTTTCTAGATACTCCTCATAGATTCCACAAACTTTTGGAGGTTGCCATACGAAGAGCCACCTTTCAAAACTGTCTTATAAGCTTCTTCCTTGATCTTTTTAACGTTGTTCCTCATATCGCTACCACTTTCTTCTTCCATGAGTGTCTTCACAACTTTCACGAATTCCTCCCTGGTAACGAGCTTTTGAGTCGCTACATTTGAGAACTTCAATCCGATCTTCCAGTCCTCCACCACCAGCTTGCAGTTAAGATTTTGCTCGGCGATGCAAGGCCAGCAGATCATTGGAACGCCTCCTGAGATACTCTCGAGCGTCGAGTTCCAGCCACAGTGACTCAAAAATCCACCGGTGGAAGGATGCTGTAGGATTTCCAGCTGAGGAGCCCAGCTCACGACGAGCCCAAAGCCGCCAACTCTCGCCTTGAATGATTCGAAGAACTCAGCCTCTAAGTTGGCAATTGACTTCGGACGAATGGCCCAAAGGAATGGTCTCTGGAGTTCTTCCAATCCCGCTGAGATCTCCATGAACTGCTCCAAGCTGAGAGTAGCGATGCTGCCGAAGGATATATAGAGAACTGACTCGGGAACTTGCTTATCCAGCCACGATAAACACTCCTGATCTTCGTTCCAGAGGCTTGGATTGCTTGCTTTCTTCTCGCCAGTGCAAAGCAAAAGAGGTCCAACTGCGATGCTGTTTGCGTTGATCTCCCTGGCTGCCTCAAACGCCTCACCTTCGAGCTCTTCAAAGCTGTTGAAAAGGACCCATGCATCCTTAGCCATTTGCGTTGTTCTGTGGTGCCGGCGAGCAAACCCGGGATCCAACTTTTCATCGTGAGCGGACAACACCGAGGGGAGGCCCCAGATTGGCAGTGGCGACACCCCGGGAATGTAAGTTATCACCTTGTCGATTGAAAAATCTGCAAGGATGAAAAGGTAAGACACGGAAAACCTGTAAAAGAGCGGAGTACCTTGCACTGGTATGTCACCATGCTCTAGCAACTTCGGTAAATGGTACTCGAGAAGAAGTGAGTGAGCAGTCGAGGTCCAAAAAGTAACATTGAGTATCCCGACCCTTTGAGCCACATCTCTCGACCACCTGTAAAACAAGTCCGAGATGAGGCACGAAACTGGAGGCCCCCTCTTCGAGATCTTGTCCACCAGCAGCTTCTCGACCGGACCTTCCATATCCTCCATGGACTTGAAGAAGATAAGCCGGTTGTCCTTGTAGAAAAGGTCGAAGTCCAATGGAGTACCGGGAACAGTCTCGAAGCGAATGTCAAGGCCGTCTTCACCGTCTGTGACATGCTTCATCCGGCTCTGGACGGCCTCCGTGTTGATGAAGGTGATGACGAAGCCTCTGGAGGCGAGAGCTTTGCAAAGGTGTAAGAGAGGAGAAACATGACCTTGAACTGCGACCGGGAGTGCAACCGCATGAGGCCGGCTATCTACGAGAGAACCCATTTTCTGCTGCTGCTGCTTGTTCTTGCCCTCGGGATTTTAACTCCTCCACAAAGAACACTTCAGAAGCTTCAACGATTGAAGCGACCGTCTCTCGATGAAGCTTCTGATTTAAAGAGAGACGACCGAAAGTCAGTAGACGTCTAAACCTCTCAGTTGTTAGCCACACCAATATCCTGTCTACTGGTTGGTGTGTCCCATTAAGACTCGCGGCCACGACAAACTATCGTAAACGCTTGTAAATCAAATACAAATATCAGAAAAAGTTTAGTCGTGTAGCCAACATACAGAAAGGAAGGTGCCGCGTTACTCTCGTGTTTTCTTCTTGGAAGAGACCGGAAACTCCGAAAAGGCTCACATCATTGCCAGCTGATGGAGAGAGAGACTGAAATATCTTTTTTACAATGGCCAGCAGTCAGAAACTCAACCGTAAGAAACATAAAGACGTACCAGACAACCGTGATTCAGCCGACAATCGGAGCAAAACAATGGTGTAAAGGGCTCTGCATGTAAGGATTTAACCAACAGAGATGTCGAGTTTTCTCGTGTTATCAAACTATTCTTGTAGAAATGTTGTTGTACACTGTGCAGCCACAGCACTGAACAATGATCTCCCCAATATGAACATCAACTGGAACCTAAGAAAAAAGCAGAGAAGTAACGAGCTTTAGGGCAAACTAATCCTAGAATCTGACAGAGAAAAATAGAAAACTGACACGACGTACCAGAACGAAACATGTTGGTCCCTGGTCTTGCAGAGCAATAGTCGACACAATCACGGGGAAAAATTCCAAATGAGAAAATTATTCTTCATTACCTGCCAGTGCATCATGCCCACGACCATGATATCCAGTTTTCCCCACAAGACTCGTGTAGAGAGAGAGTTTTTCTTTTCGGCCAGTATTGTAATATATTGTGTGGAATTATTCCAACATTGTGACATTGTTATGCTAACACTCAGCTTTATTTCATTTCATCTCAGTTGCTTGCCCATGTGTAAAAAATAAAAAATGGAAAGTGTTCTATAAGAAATAAAAATGGAAAGGGAATGAAGTAAATTACTTGTGACATGGTAACCGATACTTTTTTTATGGAACATCAAAAGCTTTGACACTTTTTTCTTTTTCTTTTCTTCAGTTGCACAATTTTTGAATTATTTAGGGACAATAGTCTTCCTTTTATGTGGTACCTGTAACCACATGAAGTTAAAACTCAAGAAAGAAATGTAAAGTTTGATACTTTGTCCACTTGCACTTCCTCGGCTTCCACTTTCGCATACCTTTGGAGTGTTTGTAATTTTCTCTCCCAACATAATATTCTCTTTTTCATGCACACTAGAACATTTCTGTTGAAAAAGAAATAGTTAAAAGTATTGGAACAAGCAATTACCTTTCTTTCCTTGTCGTGCTTCTAGGTTAGCATTCTCTCCAAAATATCTTTGGGAAGCCAGTAGATGATTCGCTTATGAAAACACAAGAGAAAGATAGAACCTTCATATTTATCATGGATGAACTTCATGATCGTAGCTTTTGTGGTGTTGTTTTTTGACTTGAAATTATGGTGTAGCAACAAGTTTTGGTGTAGTTTGACCCACTTATGAACTTGTGCAATGTTGGATTTCTGGACGTCATGTTGCATCAGCCAATACTTTACTAGAAATTTTTAACCATAGCTACTGTATTGTCGATCACCGTGTGGAAGTTTGTGAAAAATCCGCTCATATGTTGGAATTTCTTCATCAGTGAAGTCATTGCCATCTCCATCATCACTGGCTAGAATGATCTTTTCAGGTAATGCATGAGATGGACTTGGCTTTTTCTGCATTGAAAGGAAAAGTAGTTAACTTGAGTTCAAACAAGAAAGATTATATCTGGTTTTTAGCATCAATATAGCAACATAGAATTCCCAAACTTGATCAAGTCACCATTAAGCCTTAACTTCCTTATAGCCTCTAAGAACGATTGCCCATTACTAATCTCAGCAACAAACTTACAACATCTACGTTTGTCCACTCCTAGACATCATACTCTTCGGCTTGTAGCAACTGTTGGATGGAAAGTCAAATAGTGATCATTAGCAAATACGCCAAGTTGTTCGTAACATATATCTGTGCTAGCTATGAGTAAAGGAAATAAGATGAACTTGTGTAGAATCTCCTGCACTGGCTAAATAGCAATGTCCCTCTTGCCTCCATTTCTTAGTAGTACCATCCCTGCTGTTACATCTGTAGCTGCCACCAAATGGCTTCAAGACATTCTAGCTTCAACCAATGCATGCTTACTCGAAAAAAACCTTAAGTTTGAAATCTTGTTGTATCCAAAATAAGGGTTCAATCTTTGCCTTCCAAGTCTTGCTTTCATTCGTGTGATCTTCTCAAACTATTACACAATCCCCTACTTTGAAGATCTCCCCAAGCGAAAGGACATGATGAACAAGTTGCTTTAATTTTCTTTTACACCCATTATAGCTTCCAGAATCTATTTTCTTCTACCAACAAGCATTGGTTGCTGTAACAAGCTTTTGAAACCTTCTCCATAAAGCCCTCTTACTTCCTTGAAAAACTCAACTCTAAACCTACCATCTATCAAGACCTACAATCCATATCTTGAAACACTTGCTTGCTCACACCCTTAAATATAAATTTCAAAAAATACCATGAGTTTGAAATTTTGTTGTCCTTGTTGTTAGAGTAGATTGCATTATAATTCTTGACTACCCACTCAAATGGATAGCACCAAAAGTTGATATGGCTGCTATGCCTTTGAATGTCGCTAAAATATCTCCACATCCAATATTATGCTCCAATGGAACATTTTTCGCTCCAAACTCTTCCTCCCTAAGTGTCCTCCATAGCATAAATATAACAGCCCCAATCTCAAGGTTTTCCTTAGTCCATCCTCCATTACTTTGCTTGAAAAATAAGTGAGCAACATTGGAGACACACAACCCAATTTTCTTCAGATTTCCATTTGAATTCTACTTAAAAATACAACGATTCTTCTGCTTTGTAACTCAAAAACGAAGCAATAAGTAAACAAAAGAATAACTCAATGTACACATTTACCTTTCTAAACTGGATGGCCAACATCTTGCTTGAAAGGGCTTGAAAATAACAAATTTATGTCCTGAATCACCACTTCTAATATGGAAGAGAGTTTGTCATTGCTTTTGAGATAATCAAAAAAACTTTTGAAACATGTCTCACTGCATCAGATCAAAAACAAAATCTAGGACCATGAACATAGTTGGAATATTCAAATGAGAAAATGAAAAAGCATATTTGTATAATTGATAAAGCCTCCAGAAAACTGAGACAAAAGCAAGACTAGCTTCATTGAGATACTCATCCCTCTTTGATATTGTTGTGCTTCTAAAATGTTTGAAAATAGTAACTCAAATGTCCTAGCAGACATGGGATTCTGAAAAAAAAGGTGTTTAGAAGTAAATGATTGAGATTATAAAATCAGTAGGAAAACAAAGAGCAATTACATGTTTTTATCGAACAGATCTCTCCCATCTCAGAGTGTAGAAGCAATATAGTAGCACCTACATCCTGATGGTCCACCCCGCTTAAAACTGCCAACCATGCATTGTGCTACATGATCTCCCGTCCACGCCATAAACATTGCACGTACTTGAGTAGTACTCATACCTCATGGATACTCCAAGTTTCAAAGAGCTCCTCCAATTCTTCTATCAACAGCCTCAAAAGGTATTGGAGAAGTTCACCTTCTCTTTCCTACCTCTTGAACTTCTTCTAGGGGATGAATAGAATAGGAAAAGGCTTTAAAAACCTTCCATTCCTTGTGTTAAGTATCTGAATCTTGACAACTCCAAACTTTCGTTGTGAATCATAAAGTTGGTGATTGTCAAAGGGGCCAAGAAGAGCAAAGTTTGCAGGATTTCTTGCTACTTACTGCGAAATCACTTTCTGTAATAAGTCACACCTTGAGCATGTGAATGTCTAAGGCTTCACCAGTCCACCAAAAGCCTCTTGAGATTTCTGGTGCCACCTTGGGAAAAATGGGTAGGCATGCTTACAACACGAGCAATAAACTGATAGTCTGTAGGTCTCTTCTAGATTCCAAAACTGCTATAATGATTTCCAATACTATAATGACTTAAACTTGTCCTCATCCCAGAATTTTAAGATTTCTCGTTGGACTTAAAGCCCTCCCTCCACAAACGTTACAAATGGTGGTAATATGTCCTTAAGCTGCTTACAAGACTGAGATAAGAGCTGATTGACAGGTAGTCGAATGCCACCATCTTGGCCTTGTGTGTAGACACCATCAGATGGAGAGTAAACTACTAGATCATGACGCTCCTTATCACCTTCACATAGTCTCCACCTGACTGGTTCATTCATTCCAAACCTCCTGAAAAATGAGTCCATTTGCTTTGCAAAACTTGGCAATCTACTCCATACATCAGCTTCAGGGTATTCTAGCAGGATGTTCATGAGAGACTACTCGCCCTTGCCAAAAATCTTTCCTAGAATCCTGTCCCGTCACTTTTAGACACCAAGTGCACATTGAATGCCTCGTGGAGATCTAATAGAACTAATGTTATCAACCGTTAGACCAATTCCTCCTTTCTATCCTGATCAGACTCTATCCCCTGTGCCTGGTTGGCGCTCTCCTTCATCCCCAGACCCTGGTTCATCCAAGCTTGCTAGATCAATGCCCCAGATTCTTCCATTATCTACTAATCTGCATTCTCCCTTGGCCTCCAAGAACCATGGCCTAGGTGCTTGAATTCTATCCAACTCTCTAGATTCATGTCTATGCAAGGTGATCACTCTCTCCTCTCTTCTAGTTCTTTCTCATTGTGACCCGATACTCCTCGCTCGCAAACTCTTTGACCCTTCTTTCAAACATGCAATTCCAATAGACGGCCACAATCTAATTATGCCAATCCAATGACCAGGAAATACCTTGTAATTCATTTCCAATTAAAAGATCCCGCTTATTTAAGTAAAAGAAAAAGATGCCCTGCTAAATTTTGATTTAGGGTTTGTCACGATCTTAGGAGCGCTTGCTCATCTCTGTCCTCGGGCAGGGATCGAAAGAAGGTGAACAAATGTCAACGACACTGAGTAGAGTACTTCTCCTGGAAAATCTTACACAATGCCCCACCCGATCGCAGCCAATCGCTGTGTAAGTTTCTTCTAGCGTTTCTACCGCTGCTAGATTCTCAAGCAACCAAACAAGCCTGTCTTGCAGCCTATGCCTCAAGATCCAATCAAGTGTGCGAGTCTCGAAGCATGCGAAGTTTTGCTTACGAGATTGCGACCAGCGAGATGACCAACACTAATCCATTGACAATCTGAGCTGAAAGATCGAAAAAGTCTCACATACCGCCTTGTTGAGGTGCAAACCCGATCCAATCAGATTAAATATTACTCTGACATTGAAGCATTAAGGTAATGTAATGCATCAAGGAGACAAGTCTGCTTAATTTGAAACTCCCCCCGAGACCGCGGTTCAATTCGTGGCCAGAAGCACTATCAAATTCAACAGTCAATTGAGCCGCCCAAATGGTGGCCTCTATCTATGTACACACACGACTGTTCTGAAACCTTGGGTTACACTGTCGTCGAGGAAGCATTCGAGCTGCTCCTTTTGTCATGAACGATTGCGATCAGTGAGACAACGAACGCAATATCGACTCCAGGCGCCACGCTTATGGTGTACTCAGTGCAGCCCCATAACGAACCACCTTTGGCCTAGTTGAAATACATACAATCAGTTCATGCGAAGTCAGATAACCAAAGCAATCTGAATTACCTGTGCTACGAGCTCTTGGTTGTGGCCTCGAACGATATCGATGCCCCGGCTGAAGCAGTGTCCCTTGATTTGGTAATCCGGCTGCCTGTTCTTGCCCGGCTCCTTGTCCGACCCCACAAACACATCAATCGACATGCTTATCTGAAAGATCGAAGAGCTCCTCAGCATAAACAGCATGCGGTCCCGTTGGGCATCATATCCATACCAAGTACCTCTCACTGGTAAAAACATCTGCTAGCACAGATTGTCAGGATTTCAGGAGCTTCAGGAAAGTGATGGTGTTTACCTGTGGCCGCAAACGAACAAGTGGAGCATTCGTAGTGAGGTCTACGATATAGTGGTCGCGGTTCCAGAGAAAGGAGGGGTGCTTGACCTTGAAGAGAGGCCTACCGGTGAGATCGAGTACCTCCTCATTTCTCCAGCCTCGTTTGTAGACGAGCGCAACCCCCGCAGACTTGCAGAACTGGCTGCTTACAACCGCCATTGCCATGAAGTGGCGAATCGAAAGATGCAGCGGTAATCTTTTATAGAGTGCCGCCGACAACGATGGGCAGACTTGGCAGACTGTGGCACCGCGTGCTTTGAGTTACGTAAAGTGAAAGAAAGCTAGACTGGGTCTAAGCTGACCTCGATGTCCGGGCTGCGCACGGAACTGCTGGACAATTAAAACGATAGTCAACTCTAGTCAACTTATGATGAGTAGTCAACTCAAGAAAGACGTAAGATACATACCAGACTACCGTGATTCAGCTGACAATTCCTACAAAACAATGAAAGAGCTCTGCATTTAAAGATTTAACCAACAGAGATGTTGGGTGTCACGTATGCACCCGCTGACGCGAGCTCTCTCATTTTATCAACTATTCTTGTAGCAATGCTGTTGTACACTGCAGCGACATCGCTGTTAGCACTTGAAGCAACGATAGGCTTTCCTTCATCTGAAGTCTCTCGGATATGAACATCAAGTGGAACCTGAGGACAAAAAACACAACGAGATTCCTCAAGAGAAAACCGGATGTATATTGGATTATACCTTGCCAAGGAAGTCGATTTGCATTTCTTTAGCGGTTGTCTCACATCCTCCGTGCCCGAAAATGTGTGAGCTTTGGCCGCAGCCGGGGCAAATAAAGTAGCTCATGTTCTCAATTAATCCCAGAATCTGGAAAACAGAGAACTTACAGGAAAATGGATAGAACAATGGAACGACGCACCGGAACGTGAACCTTCTGGAACATGTTTGTTCCTCGTCTTGCATCCAACAGAGCAATATCTTGAGGCGTCGACACAATCACAGCACCTGGATCAATCAAGAAAAGCTGTGAGAGGAGAAGATCTCAAACAAGAAAAACTATCCTTCATCACCTGCCAGTTTCAGACGTTGTGAAACTGATATCTGCGCATCACCAGTGCCTGGCGGCATGTCCACGACCATGATATCCAGTTTTCCCCACGAGACACCTCTCGTCAGCTTCTCCAGCGCGCTCATGACCTGTAGAGAGCTGCAAAGACAGTCTTTTTGCTCGAAAGAACAAAAACCTTCAAAGAAAGAACAAGGAGACGATCATACCATCGGCCCTCTCCAAACCACTGGCGCATCTTTATCCATCAGAAATCCCATCGACATGCACTTTACACCATAGTTCTCCAGCGGGACCATCTTGTTCGCTACATTTTTTTCTTCTCAACTGGATGTCATCGAAATGGAAAACTTTCTTACCGCTATCGATCTTAGGCTGTCCACTGAGATTCATGAGCAGTGGAATCGAAGGCCCGTAGACATCAGCGTCCAAAAGCCCCACCCGGAGCTTACATTTCAAAGCGAGCGCTACCGCCAAGTTCACTATGTAAAAACAAAAACATTCACTCTAAAGAATTCTAAGAACACGAACCTGCCGTGGTGGATTTCCCGACTCCTCCTTTCCCTGAAGCCACAGCGATAATCCTTTCCACTCCATCCAGCTGGGGCTTGCTCAAGGCGCCAGCGGCCATCGCCAGAGCTCTCCTCGCCATTCTGTTACTTGATAAACCCTAAATCAAAATTTAGGGTTTTTGGAGGAAATGGGCAAGCGCAAATCCGCCAAGAAGCCGCAGCCCAGCAGAAAGATGCAGGAGAAGCTGCCATCGGTGTTTAGCTGCCCGTTCTGCAATCACGAGAGCAGCGTCGAGTGCCGCATGTAAGTGCCGCATTAGGGTTTTTAGAAGCGCTCCCTCATCTCTTTCCTCTCGCAGGGATCGAAAGAATGCCGTGGGCGAAGCGTCGTGCAGGATTTGCCAGGAGAAGTACTCCACTCAAATTGACGGTCAGTGTCCTCGTTTTCTTTTCGATTCTCCCAAAACCTGACTGACTGGATCTTTCGTTTGCATTCTAGCTTTGAGCGAGCCAATCGATGTGTAAGTTTCTTAATCTAGCGCTTCTAGCTCTCGATCTTTCTCACTCTTTTGAGATTTTTCCAGCTATAGCGAATGGATCGACGAATGCGAGCGAGCAAACACTGCCTCGTGAAGGAAGGTTTGAGTTTTACATATACATAGCGTGTAAATACGCACTCCTTCAAGAAAACCAGTGTGTAATGTGCAGTCCAGGAATACATTAGCTTGGATTTTTTTCTCTTTGTCGTCTAACGAGTACTGTGGACTAGAAGGTAAAAGGGGGTCACATTTTCTTTGCTTGTAGGTTCCTTTGCGCTCAAGTAAAAGCTATGGTGGAAAGGCCTCGGGTTGTGGCTGTGCCATTTCCTATGCAAGGCCATATAAGCCCGCTTCTTCAGCTCTCGTATCAACTGGCTGCTGCTGGTATTGACATCACTTTTGTCAACACTTTCAGAAATCACGAGCGACTTGTGGGATCCAGAGAAGTCGTGTCTAAGGTACTTGGAACTGTTGATGTTCTTGAGCTGCTTAAGTTTTCTTTTCCTCTTTCTCTCTCCAGGAGCATTCTTCCGGAGTTATAACTTTCATGGGCATCTCCGACGGCGTTGCAGCGAAAGCCTTCGACGGAGGTTTCAACGAGTCCCTCAATGCGTCCCTCGTTGCCTCCGACGAGATGGCGAAGCCCTTTGAGGAACTTCTCTGGAAACTGGACGGTGTTAGCTGTGTGATTTCGGACGCTTATCTTGGATGGGCTCAAGCCGTCGCGAACAGATTTGGGGTCCCCAGGGTTGCACTGTGGACGTCCAACGTTGCTTACTCCCTTGTGAATTATCATCTTCCACTGCTTGTTGAGAAAGGCTATCTTGGAGTAAAAGGTAAGAAATGACCGCATTGTTATGCATATCTGACGCTTTCCTAAACAGATCCTTCTTCTGTTGGTTTTCTCGACAACCTTGTGACTTGCGTTCCTGGGGTCGAGCCAATTTATGCTCGGGACCTTCCAACCGTTCTTCGCTACGACTCTGGGGAAGATCCCGGCTTTGCAAACAGGATTCGCAAGATTCAAGCTCTGAAACATGCATCGTGGGTCCTCGTCAACTCCTTTGAAGAGCTAGAGAGCGCCGGAGTTGAGTCCATGAGGCGAGAGCTTGGAACGCAGAACTACGTGACAGTCGGGCCACTCCTGGTAGAAGACACAGGGGGCAGGAAGAGTCTGTGGAGCGAAGACGAGGCATGCTTGAAGTGGCTTGACTCTCAAAAGCCAGGCTCGGTTCTCTACATTTCTTTCGGAAGTATAGCCAGCATTGCAGGTGCTCAGATGAGAAGCATTGTGAAAGGGCTGGGGGACACAAGGCAGCCTTTTCTCTGGGCAATGAGAAAAAACTTACTGGTTCCGGACTCCGACTACTCAGAGAGATCCTTCCAGGAGTTTATGGGAGCGACTAAGGCACAAGGGCAGGGACTGATCGTGGAATGGGCTCCGCAAGTGAAAGTTCTCCAGCACCGGGCACTAGGTGGCCACCTATCACATTGCGGATGGAACTCGGTACTGGAGAGCATGGCGATGGGAGTACCGATACTCGGCTGGCCCTGCGTCGCCGAGCAGACGATGAACTGCAAGAGAATTGCGGAAGACTGGAAGATTGGGCTGAGATTCACGACCGACGACGCAAAGCAGCAGCTTGTGAGCGATGAGGAAGTGGCAAGAGTCATCAAAAAGCTGTTTTGCGAAGGCGAGGGGCGCGAGATCAAGAAAAGAGCCAGAGAGTTCTCAGCCATTGTGAAAACCGCTGTCAGCCCGGGCGGATCGTCGCACCGAAACTTGGAGAGGCTTGTCCAGGCGATCAAATTCGGAAGGCTCGGCAAGAACTCTGGCTAAAGTGATGTCCGTACGAGTGAGCTTGTGGGAATAGGATACTGCAAAGTCAGGCTTTCTCAGTTGACCTCTGGCGATGGCGCTGGCTAGAACAAGATACGAGCGTGCTCGATGGGGTGGTCGTCGGGACACTGCGGAGAAGTCAGTTCACAGCATGAGCAGCAGCAGCCTGCAAGCGTTTTATCTCAACACTTTGCAGCTAGAGGCGGATGCAATTGAGTTTGCAGCTGGGGGGTATGGAAGCATCTTCAAAGGGACAGTGGCAACTGGTTTTCAGATCCCGGAGAGACTGGAAAGAGGCCGGTATTTGCCTTACGGCCAAAAGACGGATGAAGCCCCGGATTTCTCCAAGCCATCCGAGAGAGTTCCTGTCGCTGTCAAGAAGATCCGGGAGCCGGAGAACGACGACGAGGTTTTGGAGATGACCAGGGAAGGAATCAACATGAGAGTTGTCCAAGGGGCAAGAAATGTGGTGACTGTCTACGGGGTTGCTTACAGCAAGGAGCTGGAATGCGTCTGTCTCGTCATGGAGCTTGTTCAAGGCCCGCAGCTGGATGCGTTTCTCAAGGCACACCATCCTCCGGTTCCAGACGCAGCTTGGTGGAAAACGAAGCTAGAGCTGTTCATGGAGCTCGTTATTGGGCTATCGGTTTGCCATCAGAATGGTGTCTACCACGGAGACTTGAAAGGCAGCAATGTGCTCGTGGTGGACGAGTCTCGGGTTCCAAAGTTGATAGACTTCGGCTTCAGTTTCCGGAAACGAGACATAGCTTACCTGAAGGAGACGATAGGTGGTTCACCGTTTTGGGTCAGTCCCGAGCTTTGCGATCAAGACGAGCAGAAGGTGCTGCAGGAAGTGATGCGGAATCCTTATCCCTCCGACTTTTACTCTCTCGGCATGACCTTGGTTGAGATGTTTCTCGACGGGGAGGTGCCGGAACAGCTTTCAGCAGGCTTCATCGAAGAGAAAATCTACGGAGGATTTCCCGTGTCTCTGGAAGTGCCACCCGGTATGGAAGCTTTTGAGCCAGTTTTTACGAAGCTTTTCCAGGTGGTAGAGGGCTGCTGCATGTCGGATCGCGACGAGAGGATCTCCTTGCAGCAGTGTCTGGCAGAGGTGCAAGCGGCCTACGATGAGCTTTGCAACATCGGCTGCAGTTTTAATGAGGATTTTCTCCGGGATCCTTCCAAGCTTGCATCTACGGAGGCGTACACAGCAGTGCTTCCAGCTTTCAAAGCAAAGTTTCCTGGAGTTCCGGATGCTGTTTTCCTTCAACCAGCGGATAACATGGTGGTGGACACGAAGGTAAACACGCTGGTGGATTTGTTCTGCGACATGGATTACGGGGAAGGCGTAGAAAGCATCGTCAGGTGGAGGTGGTCTATTGTTAAGATCAAGCTGGACGAAGAGGTTCCTCGTTTATGTCGTCGCTGCGTGCAAGCCGGGAGTCCGAAAGCACTGAAGGTTCTGTGCTCTCGGTGGAGGGAGATTTCTAAACAAGACGAATGGCTACTTCACGAGGCTTGCGAGGCGGACAGTGCCGAAGTGCTACAAGTTCTTCTTCAGGACTTCAAGATGGACTATAATACTTGGCACCGGAGGTGGCCGCTGAAACCGCTGCACAAGCTTTCGTACCAAGGCAAAACAGAGATGATGAAGATCGTGTTGGACCGTGCGAAACTTAGTGGGAGAAGGGACTACGTGAACGACGAAATCGCGGGACGGACTCCACTATACTACGCAGTCGCTGGTGACAAGATAGACGCGGTGTTTTTCTTGCTGGAACAAGGAGCGAACTCGTTGGGCCAGGAGGACGAACTCACTAGCTCTGATTTTTTGGACAACCTGCTAGGGGCGGCTGCAGAGAGCGTGAGCTTAAATGTGATCGCAGTTCTTTCCGAGGTAAGCAGCTCGTTGAGGACTACAGGCACTGCGGTTGGGCTTGAAGGAAAGGCCGCTCAGCTTTTCCGAAACCACTATAGCAGCCGTCTTGCGTATCTCAAGATTGAAGGTGATCGCCTGCTCGAACTGAAGAAGCACTTGGAAGAATCAAGTCGACGTGGATTGGATGCCTTCAGCTTCGGGTGTTCCAGAGAGGGAAATGCGGAAGTTTTTGAGACGATCGTGTCGATCAAAGAAACTCCCAGGGACTTGTGGAGGCACTTGATTGGGTACGGAAGCAGGGAAATGGTGGCCTATGCGTTGGATAAGCTGGGATACTTGGCTACATTGGACTTGATCCATCTTGCTTCAAAGCAGGGAAACTTGGAAGTCATGGACTTTCTGACAGTGCTCATGGACAGACGTAAACGGGTTGGCGAAGCAGAGAAAACTCTCAAGGAGATGCTTGGCGGTTTTCGTGAAACTGAGGAACAAGTTCTAGAGAACAAGCAACAGCTACAGGAAGATGACTTGCAGCTCGGTCAGGGGAAAGAAGAGCAAACTAAGTTTGATGGAAGTTCCAGCAGCGAAGAAAAGGTTGCCAAAGACGATTTACAGGTACCGGAAGATGAGAAATCTGGCTTACAAGTGATGGAAGAGCTCGAGGAAGATGAAGTAGAGTCCAGCAGCGAGCTTGTTACTGATGGTGGGGAACTTCCAGAGTTGAAGTTCCGGAGGATGTTCGACTACGAATACTGGGACGTGCTCAACGAGTGGACCACGTGCAGGAACATGAACACGGAATGGATACTGGGCGAGTTCCATAGGATTTCTCCAGACTCTTGGACGGAAACATCTCAAAAGCTGCTATTGATCGCGGCACAGCTTGGAGACGAAACGATGGTGGAGAAGTTATTGGGAAAGAAAGTATCACCGGATTTCGAAGAAGAGGATGGAGTGTCACCTTTGTACCAGTCAGTTCTGTGGGAGCATGAAGAGATAGCCCAGATGCTGCTGAGAGCTGGGGCAAACGCGAGCGACTCTTGCATGGACGCCGCGTTGGACGTAGGAAACGGGAGCTTGGCTAGACTGCTCATCAAGTTCGGCTTCGATACAGGCAGGAAGAACGGAAGCAACCAGACTTACATGGACTTGATCAAAGTCATGGACGCCAAGAAGGAGGAGTTTCGGGAGAGGTATGAGATGCCGTTTTTCGCAGCGATGCATGGTGAATTTCCATGACGAAGGTACTGGTCTGTCAATAGTGTCTGTGTCCTAAAAATCTTCTTTTCCTTGCAAGGCCTGATACTATCATAGCCGAAGTCTTTTACGAATTCCTTGCTAGAGCATCTGGCAGGATCGCTCTCATCCGGGAGCGAGCTTCCTGGATTTCTGCAAGCTCGTGTGGAATGGATTAACTTCTCGCGATCAACATGACCTTTTTATTGCCGAGAGAGTGTTCAAAGACTCTCCAGGCGATCGGTAAGTCTCTTGCAAAGTTTAGTGCTGTTCCTGACAGTATTTTTCTTTTTTCTTTTCCAGCAAAGCTCGATGCACTTAGAAGATCAACATGACCGATGAATTGCCGAGAGATTGTTCAAAGACTCTGGAGGCGATCGGTAAGTCTCTTGCAAAGTTTAGTGGTGTTCCGGACGGTGTTTTTCTTTTTCTTTTCAGCAAGGATCTTTGAATTGCCGAGAGTGTTCAAAGACTCTGGAGGCGACTGGTAAGTCTTTTGCAAAGTTTAGCGGTGTTCCGGACAGTGTATTTCTTTGTCTTTTCAGCAAAGCTCGATGAACTTCTCGCGACGCAAATGAGATTGACCTCTGTATTTCCTAGAGTATGTGCAAAGACTCTCGAGGCGATCGGTGAGTCTCCTGCAAAGTTTAGTGGTGTTCCTGACGTGTTTTTCTGTGGTCGATCTATGCGCAAAACTCCGAGAAGACACCCCACCCCGTACAGATATCGTACGTGGAATATACCCAACTTACCGTTGGGCTATAGTGTTCTTCGTGGGTGGAATCCATTCGTTCTCGAAGCGAGCGAGCGAGCGATCGATCGAAGGAGAGAGAGATGGGCGGCGGCGGCGACAAGAAGAAGCTCATGGAACAGGTATTCCATCTCAAGCTCACATCCAAGGGGCTGGTCCGGCAGGCCAAGAAGTGCGAGGCCGAGGAGGCCAAGGAGAAGCTCAAGATCAAAAAGGCCATGGAGAAGGGCAACGCCGACGGCGCGCGCGTCTACGCCCAGAACGCCATCCGCAAGCACGCCGAGCAGCTCAACTACCTCCGCCTGGCGTCGCGGCTGGACGCGGTGGTGGCGCGCCTGGCGTCGCAGGCCACCAGCCAGGGCGTGTGCGGCGCGCTGGCGGGCATCGTCGCCTCCCTCCACGGCGCGCTGGCGGTGGGCAACATGCAGAAGGTGTCGCGCACCATGGACGCGTTCGAGCGCGCCTTCGTGGGCGTCGAGGTCCAGGCGGCGTTCGTGGAGGGCGCCATGGCCGGGAGCACGTCCCTGGCCACGCCCGAGGAGAGCGTCAGTGGGCTCATGCTCCAGGTCGCGGATGCGCACGGCCTCGAGGTGGGCGCGCAGATGCCGCAGCCGGGCATCCATCGGGTGGCCGTGGCTGCGCCGCCGCCACGATCTGGTGTGTCCGAGGATGAGCTCTGCCGGAGGCTCGCCCAGCTCAAGAACAAGAGCTGATCGCACGAAGAATATGCTTTATTTTTAAAAAATTTGAACGTTAGTGCTTGACACGTTAGCCCTAATTGGACACGGAAGCCCTAAACATGAGCTGATGTGTTACATTGTGTGCCCAATTAGGGCTTATGTAATTAGGTGCCACGTCTGCCCTAGCCATATGGAGGTTATTCGGTGGGATATTCTACTGCCCCCCCAATGGCTATTGCGCTTATGAATGTGTGCCCTGGAAAATTTCCTGGGAGGAGAAACGAGGGCTCCCTTGACAGTGAGAAGAATGACTCCTCCCTAGAGCTTGTAGGGAGGCAGCCATGGCCATGGAAGCGCACGGTGCTTGGCGCGCTTGTGGTAGGCTTTGCTTGTGTGGGGATTAAATCCCAGCATCATGGGCTAGCGCTGGCAACCACCACGAGTTGCGAGAGTGAGAGCTACTATGAAGGAACTCAAGCTCTCACGGGTACTGCGCTGGAGCTCAAACTC